CAAGAAAGACAGAGCCGGTTACATTGAAGACCTATTGGTGTCTACAAAGACTTCTTGGCTTTGCCTCTGCTTGAGTTGATTTTCATCTGCACAGTAATATAGCTGTAGAAGTATTTATAAATGCTAATGTGGCCATACTTCTGGGCAGCAGTGTGCCAATACCAGACAATAGATCATGATTGGCCTAAGTCAGTGGTTCTTAAAGTGTTATCCCTGGACCAGCAGCAGTAGCAGCAGCAGCAGCAGCAGCTGGGAGCTTGTTAAAAATGCAAGTTCTCAGGCCCCATCTCATACCCACTGAATCAGAAACTCTGGGAGTGCGGCCTAGCAATTCATGTTTTAACAAGTCCTCCAAGGGATTCTTCTTATGCATGGTAGTTTGAGAAGCTTTACTGTAAGCAATTCACAGCATCACAGTTCCCTAATTTTCTGGCCTCCCTTGCAGCTAGGGGAGCTCATGTGATTCCCTCACATCCTACTGCCTTCAACTTGGACATCCTATCTGAAGCTGCAGTGACCATCCTGCAATCTTGCGGCAACAAGGTAATTAATTGTAGAAGCACTGACCCTGACATCGCTGTTCATCTCCAAACTTCTTGTTATGTGAAAAAAATACCACCCTACACCCTCCAGTTATTTAAGCTACTGTTTAGGTTTTGTTAGTTGTAGCCGAGCATATTTCTAACTGATATGACATGGTTTTTAAAAGAAGACTTTTCCCCTCGTGATGATAAGAATTTTAAACAATCTTTTCATGTTGAAATGAGTATTAAAAATGGAGCAGAGGGCAAAATTCTTATTGATTTTTAAGATAATTTTTAGCACGTGTGGCTCAATTCTTGTTAAATCCCCAGAAACCTTGTGATAAAACGGCCTCAGAGCTAAGGAGTCCTCCTCTGGAAATGTTTGAGAAGCACTTTAAAAAAAAAACTATGTTGTAGTTTCATGAAAGTCATGTTGATCACTTCTAAGAAAGTAGCAATGGTCAAGAAAAGGGAAAACTTGTTTCCTACCCTGTCAATGACACCGCTGACACCAAATGTGTGGGTTGTTTCCTTCCATTAACCAATTCTGACACTACCTGGAGTTAGCCTAGCCCCTACAGGTGTAAGGGCTCAGTCCCCCAAATTGGCCCAACACAAGTCCCCGGTTGTGACCTATACTTTTGTCCAACCAGACATAAATCAGGGGTTCCTACAACCTCCTCCTTCAGTGCAACAATATGCTAGAACAGCTCATGGAAACTCAGAAAAGCATTGTACTTACTATTACCAGTGTGTTATAAAGGGTACAACTTAGGAAAAGCCACATGGAAGAGATAGAGCAAGGTACGGAGAGGCTTGGGGCTTCCATGCTCTCTCCCAGCTCACTACCCATCCACCAACTCGATGTGTTCACCAACCCAGGACTCTCCGAACCCAGTCATTGAGGGTTTTTATGGAGGCTTCATTAAGTAGGCATAATGGATTAAATCAGTAGACATTGGTGATTAAGTGTGTTTCCAGGCTCTCTCCCCTCCCCAGAAGTTGGGGATGGGACTCAAAGTTCTACCTTGCTCATTACGTGGTTGATTCCTCTGACAACCAGTCCCCATCCTCCAAGAGTTACCTCAATGGCATACATTCAAGTATGGTTCATAAGAGCTTATTATGAATAGCAAAAAATGCTTCTCTTACCCCTTCCACTCAAGAAACTTCAAAGGTCTTAGGGATAAAAACCAAATATATATTTATTATATCACAATATCACAGTTTATTAATTTCAAAGGCAGCAGTGCCTATCATCTACCATAGTACCCAATTCATGGTGAATGCTTAATAAATATTTGTATAGTGGAACTGGTGATTTTTTTTAAATGAAGAAAACAGTCTTATTAGTGGAACATTTCCAGTGGTTGGGAAGGCAGTGGATCAATCTACTCAAATCAGACTACTTGAGGTTTGACACTAAAGCTTCTTTTCAGAGAGAGCACTGTGATCTGCATGTAACAAGCACATAAATATGCTGACTGAATAAATGAAGTTTCTTCTATGTGACATATAAAGATTCCTGTTCAACTTTGACAGGCACTGTATTAGGTGCTATTATACACCATATCTCATTTAACCTTTGAAATAGTTGTGTGAAGCAGGCAGTGCTGGAATACTAATGACTGAGTGTAGGCTTAGTGTATCAGCAAAACTGGAGCACACAAATTTGTTTGGGGTAAATTGATATCTGATGTCTTATTTATAAAAAAACATCAGAGTAGTATAGTCAACATTGGAAAAATCAGTTTTTTCTACATTATATTTGAGAATTCTTCCCATTTTAAATTATATATTGGGGAGTGTGTTGCATTACTAAGACCATCTTAAATTCTTCATCTGGCTCCTGAAGACAATTCTTATTATATAGAACAAACTAGGGCTCAGAGAACTCAGTTACTAGCTCAAGTCACACAGCTAGTTAGGGACAGAGCCGACTATGATGTTATTCAATGTTTATGATACATTCTATGTTTATGATGGTACATAGCAATTTTCCTTTTTAATCTAAATGTTTTGATCCCTATCGTATTCTCAGCACCTAGAACAATATTCAATATACTTTATTTTTAGCAATTGAAAGTATGAATGATGGCAATGATCAGCCCACCTAAATGATTGTGCATTGTGTTAGTTTTGGGGTCAACCAAGGGAAAGTGAGATGGAAATCAAGCCAATGAAGAAAGCTTCTCTGACGCCCTTCTGAGGTTGCTTGGATTCTCAAGACAAGGGTCCCCAGATGTCTTTACATTTATCATCTTTAGGTTCCTATTTTGGAAGCTGGGGTCCCAGACTCCCTTCTCCCTATATAAAATAAAGTGTGATTTAAGAAAATGTATTCTATAAGTCATTTAAGAAATGTTTCCTGAGAACTGTATAATCCCATACTCACAATAAAGGGTACAAGAAAAAGACAAAATTTAAATGGGCCTACTTTTTTCCCCCTTTTTTTCTTTTTCCTTTCAATATGCAGTAGTGGGGGCACTGAGTTTTCGTATCACCTATGCTAGAGGGTCTCAATCATAGGTGTGCATGAAAACCATCTGGGCAGTTATTTTAAAATTCATCTTTCTAAGTCTTGTCCCTAGAGTCCCTGATATTATAGGTGTGAGTGAACCCAGGACTTCACCCGAGGTGATTCTGATGCTGGTGGTCTAGCCAACCTGTTGTAAGAAACACTATCTTTACACAAACTTGAGAAGTAGATTAAAAAACAAATCTGAATTGTAATCAAGTCTTTATTTTTGCCATCCTAATCATTGCTTGGGCAATTGTCCTATTCCTAAATTTGTCTTTCTTCCCAAAACATTCACAGCCCCTAAGCTGAATGGTACTCTCTTGGGTCTTAGTTTAAATTATCTGCCCAAACCAATTTACACAAAAGAATGAATAAGATTTAAATTCTCATTCAGGGCATTTTCATTAAAACAAAATAGTATCCTAAGCTATTAGAATGTCTTCGTTACACTTTAGTATTGTTTCTTTGGGGGGCGGGGGGGGGGCGGGGGAGAATTAGCCTTGCAGTACCTTTTAGTCTAATTCTATTGCTGGAGGAATCATGTCCAGTTTCTTTATCTGCCTATTGAATCACTCATTCTAGACTCATCCTGTGTCTGTAAACCTATCCTCGGTAAACCTATCCACAGAGATGATCCTTTATGTCATCACCATCCCGTGCACGTTTCAATTATAGCACCTATCATCTAAAATTGGAATTGGCTAATTTATTTTTTTATTTCTAGCTCTACGTAAAGAGCCTGGCAAATAGCAGATGCTGAATAACTGTGGAATGAAAAGAGTGAATGGCAAAGACTGGTTCAAAGTTTTAAAATCAGTGTTGTCTGAGAAACAAAACACGGAAATGGCAAGGGCCTAGAAGGAATGAAAAGGACCACTAACAGCACAGAATCCTCCTGAAGGGATCACCTGTCCCATTTTCTCACGTCGCTTTTTGGCCTCTCCTGACACCCCAATTTCCCGCTCACTAACTCAATTCTCTTCCCTTTCTGAGGACAGGTCAGGCAGGTATCCCAGCTCGGCTGCTCTGATTGGTCCGCGATGATTTCATTGTTAGGGAACATCCGGGTTTTTCCCCTCCCCGCAACACATCGCCCAGAGCCCTGCCTTCTCTCGCGTGCGCCCCACCCGCTGGCCGAGGCAAAACAACCGCCTCCCCCCAGACCGCTTCTTGTCCTCGCTTGCGCCATCCCTAGCAGTCTCTGCGCCGAGAGGCGTTTATAACCTCCAATGACGGCTTAGCAGACTTTGTTAGCCAATCAGCAGCCAACCCCTGCAATTCCGGGTGGGACTAGGCATCCACACCTATAACTGGACAGCCCGTTGGCTCTTTTATGACCCTTGTTTTATGCAAGGCTTAAAGGTAAAAAATAGAGGAGGACGGTCTATGTATAACGGGAAGGATCCCCACAGTCTCTGGGTTTGACCGTTTTCGAAGATTAGCCAATCACTTTTTGGATACTTACCCGCCTTTTGCGCGTTCATTTAAAAAAAGCCGCTGTGACGGACTTGGAAATTGGTTTAGTGACGGACACATAGAAAAAGCCAATGATTGAGGGTTCGGGCCACCCTTTGGGCCACTAAGAAAAGAGAATCGCTAGGGCTCGGGTTTTGCGAGGCGGAGCGCAGGTGGGTTTATTTGATTGACGGCGGTCTCTACTTATGGCTGGTAAGGTGGGTTGGTCCCTGACGTCCGGGCAGTATGGCAGAGGCGGGGCTGAATGAAGTAAATGGTAATAAAGGGTTGGGTCTCGCTCAGTGGGCGGTGTTTGATGGATAGTTGACCTTGCCAATTGAAGGTGGTCATTGATGCCCAATGGAAAACTAGGAACTCAAAGGCGGGGCATTGTGGGCGGGGAAAACTCAGTACGGAGGTACAGTGGCTGCCGGAGTGGGAGGTAGGGCGGTGATTGACGGCTGCTCAGCAAACCGAATACAGCGAGAGGCCGCGCGGCGTCCCAATGGGTGGGATCTCGGGGCGGGGCTCACCGAGGGGCGGGGAAGGACGGGGTGCGGGGAGGAGGTTGCAGAAGGAGCTGAGCGACTGCTGCTCAATGGCGGAAAAGCCGCCGGTGCTTTGACCGCCTCTTCCCCCTAGCAGTTGCGGGGGAGTTTCCTGCCCGCGCGGCTGGAGTCTCTGTTTCTCAAGGTTTGGTGGCTGGAAGATGCTCCAGAGAGACGAGGCTGAGACGGAGGAGGTGGCGGCGGCCGAATCGGCAACGGCGCTAGGGTGGAGAGAAGGCGGCAGCGGCGGCGGCGGCGGCGTGCGGGGCCCGACGGTGTAAACAGCCCGGAGGCGGCGGAGGAGGCGGCCGAGACCCCGAGGGGGAAGCAGCAGCAGAGGCAGGGTCGCGCCTCCGTTGGAAGCCTGGGCTGAGTGCAGCAGGGGTCTCTGCGGCGGCGTGAGCAGACGCCCTAGACCTCGCCTCACTCGCTCGCCCCAGGTAAGGCCGCTCGGCGCCCCACCGTAGGGAAAAACCGCGCGAGGTCACATCCGAGGCCCCAGACCGTTTTCGGGGTGCCGCCGTGCTGCGGCCAGGGCCTCTGCCCGCCTAATCCTCTCCTCTTTCCCGTGCCGCGGAGCCGGGGGGTAGTGGAACTCGGGCCTGGCTCCTGGGTAGGCCCCTTCCCCAGCCGCCGCCTCCGCGTTTGGCCGCGGCTGGGAGAGGCTTAAGGTAGAGAATTTTAGTTTGCTCCGGCAACTGGAAATAAACTGCCCCTGTTCTCTGCTTCGGTCTGCGAGCATCTCTTTCACATGAAGGTACTGGGGCTACCCCAGGCCTTAACTCATCCCTTCCTGGTGCTTGCCCTATTTGGAAGCACTACCTTTTCCCATTTGTTTCCTCATCTGCTTGTGCCCTACTTTGCGCTCCACTTCACTTCCTTGTTAAATCTCTTTCGCTCTTCTGTCTCTGCTGCGTCTCACTCCCCTGCTCGGGGCTTTAAATCGTTTCTCTTTCTCTTCTTAGCCCACTCCTGGCTTCTCTGTCCTGCCTTCCCCAGCAATCCTTTTCGGATGTCATGCTTTTTAACCAGTGAGGTTCTTAAATGAAATTGCTATCGTCAGTATTCCCAAACCTGCCAGAGGCCCATTAAGAGTAGACTCGCCAGCCTTATGTGGCAGATCAGTTTTTTATTTAACTGAGCCTAACATAACTGAAAAACGATTTTGTTATTAAACGTAGAGTGTGAAAATAACCTGAAGTCATGTTTAAAATGAAAGTCTCAATGAGTGTTGAAAATAGTTATTTTATTTTTTGAGTTCCATGACCTCTGTCAGATTTAGCAGAACTAGAACATTTGCCCATCTTATTTGGCAGAAATGCTTCTTAAGCGTTTGATAGCGGCCCAGATTCATCAGCATTCAAGTTGGCCTGAAAACAACTTAAAAACTTGAAAAAGAAGACATTATACGAACCACTAGGAAGCTGTTTTGATTAAGTCACAGCTAAAGACCTTTTAAAATAGGCTCCACATGTTTAATGTATCAAAATAAAGTTGGCAGGAGTCTTGTAAAAGGATTATTGAGGAATTTGAGTAGTCTTAGTGTTAGAGCTATTTTGGGAAAAACATTCTTTTTCTGTTAACAAACGTTTACAACTCCTGTGATGTGAGAATTACTGAGGTTTATTGTGGGATTAACACAGGAACTCTTTATTTGAGCTACTGCATGGATGTAGAAGTGGTAAATTGTTCAGGGTAGACAGTGTAAGTCAGTATGTTCTAAGGAGATGGAGAAACATGCCATCGACACTGAATGTTAATAGACATTTCATTTACTTTCTCTGTTGTGCAATAGCAAAGTTCCTATTGTTGGCCTACTTTTAAAAAGAGCATTTCTAAGTAAATAGTGGGGCAAGTTATTCTGTTATTCTAATGGTCTTTTCCAAGTGTACAGGCTTTTTTTCTTTTTAAAAATATAGGTGAAATTATACTATTAAAATGGTAATTAAAAAAAAATTTGTGTAGGCCTCCTGCATAGGCAGTGCGTTGTTTCAGTAGAAGTTTTAAAGTTTAGTATTTAGAACCGATTTTTCTTTTTAAGTCAACAGATTTTCTTTCAGGGATAATCCTGATTTTACTGAGCTCCTTACCTTCTCTCAATGTCTTCTTTGTCGGTTTTTAAAAAATTTTTATTTATTTTTTATGGTTGTTGTTTGTGTTTTCTTTTCATCTTTATTTTTGCTCATAAAGTCTTATCACAGTTTCTACAGTGGTTCTTTATGTTGTTGCATTATCAGCATGTAGTAGTGTTTTTGTTTGATTTTTCATAACCATTAGTTAAGATTTTCCCAGTTTCTTGTACATTATCTTTTGGATTTGTTCATGTTATGATTATTCTCTTAGAAGTAGAGACACCTGTTTTCTTATACTGGGTGTCTGATTTCTATGAAGACTCCAGGAATAGGTGAAAGCTTTTCCAGTTTATCTGACAGGTCAGTAAATACTATTTTATGTTAGTAATTCATATTATTAAAAATTCCTTAAGATTACATCATTTGAAGGAATGGTGTATCTAAATAGCTGTGCTTCTAAGAACACCTGAGTCACAAGTTGACAAGGTCAGAGAAAGTGGCCCTTGTTGAGAATTTATTTTCCTATAACGGACATTTTTTTTTACAGAGTCCTTCACTTTTCCTGTTAAATATGCTTTTCACAGTTCATTGATTTTTTTTTAAGCAAAAATTAGTTGAGAAACAACTGATAATATCAGTTATAATGGTTAAATTTTTAAAAAATTCCACAATTCTAATAGCAAAATTTATTAAAATAATACTTAGCTTAAAATATAAAATTACAATTAGTGGTAAGAGAATTTTGGAGAATATGGTTATTTTTGGATTGTCAGTGATTTTTTTTTCACATTGTTCTTGATTCTTTTTACTTTTTCCTTAAGCGAACTGATTTTAGAATTTGGATGAAAACAATACTGCTATTTTTAGTAGATTTAAAGTTTTATTGTAGAATGTATCTTATATATCATATCAGCAGAATTGTGACTTAAGAGAACTGATTAATTGGGGATATGAGATAAGATTCCTACCAATTGGGTAACCTCTGGAATTATAGCCTGGATTATTCCCCATCTCACTATCCTGTACTCAAACAGTGAAGGTAAAATAGGGTAGGTTTAGGTAATACTGGTTTTTGTAGTTTCTGCTTGACTGTCATAAAATTTATAAAATGACAGAGTTCAACATGACCTTCTAGCAGCTGATCTAACAAGTATAGGTAAAAAAAGCATACATGGGCTTCATAATCTGCCTTTGTTTTTCTTGGTGATATTTACATCAAAGCATTGATTTAGAATAAAATTACTTTCGGTTTTTTAGATTAATGTAAGTATGCTAATATCTCTGATTAGCCATTTTGGAATGTTTTTTCAAATGAAACATTTCTAATGTGATTTAACTTCTTTGTGTAGATTTGACTTGAGTTACACTTTTCAACATTCCATCTGTATTACCCCCTAACCCACCATTTAGACTAGCTTGAGAGATTTGATCCAGTTGTTGAATCAGTATTACGAATAAAAGAAGTCTTTGCTAAATTCTTGAGGATGTTATGAAGTTTTCCAAAAGTGTTGTCTGTATGCTGCATTTCTCAGACTATATAAAGATTTTGAGATTTCGTTTTTAGTATCATCTAGCAGCCTAGGAAACAAATACCATGTGGTAGTTCATACCTTTTTTTTTTTAAGTTTTCATTTAAATTTCAGACTGTTTGATTTCTCCCCTTCAATTTAATGTTAATAACAGACAAATATTTTACTCTAAATTATGGTAAGGTAAGTCAGGCATGACACAGGAGGAGTTCTCAAGTACATTTTTTTCTTTTTATTTTATTACAACTAACATATGATGACATCTGCAATATCTTTTTATTCCTTGGCATAACATATACTTTTTATAATTGTATCTTTGCAGTAACTTACTTAACTGTAAGAACCCAGTAGCTTAGTCAGTTGTAGTGTTTCAACTTGTTCATATATTTAGAAATTTAACATGGTTTATAACATTTAAAGCAGTTTACTAGTATAAAGCTCTTATGACTTACTAAATAGTTTAATATTCACTTGCTAATAAGAAAATGGATTCAAAGTTTTCTTTTGGAGTATGTTGAAATATCAAGATTGTATTTATTGGCTTTAGATTGATTTGTTTCTTAAAAAATTAAAGATCTTAAAGTTTAGAAACAACAATAGTTGGCAAACTGGTTTTGCATCTTTTTGAACCCAAGAAGATCCACTATAACATGATCTGCATGATATTTAGAGGAGAGACAAACATTGGCAGATTTCTATTGGATATTAAGGAACTTTTCTTACTCTTAGAGATGGGACCAATTATATGTAGGGAGGATAAGACCTTTTGCTAGTATTGCTATGCTTTGTCTATGTAGAATGTCCTCCATTTCAAAATAGGCTGTGAATGAAAAGTGTATTTATAAGACTGAAACATGAAAAGCCTTTTCCTTCCTGGAAAACTTTTATAGTGTGGCTATGTTATCAGGTATAATCAGATTTGTAGTATACGAGAAAAAAAAACCTGATACTTTTGTAGTTCATAAGTGTGGTGATTGGGTGTTCATGCTCTTGTGTGAGATGTGTCTCCCTCAAACCTTGTTACGACACCTTGTACATTACCTGTCAGACGTAAAAAGAAAAAAAAAAGAAGAAAAAAACCCCCAAGTGAACAGGTTTTGTTTGATCGGTAGTACACACAGTAATCCCCCCATATCCGCAGTTCTGCTTTCTGCGGTTTCAGTTACTAGTGGTCATATTAAATGGAAAATATTAAATACTATTAAATATTATAATCATATTAAATGGAAAATTCCAGAAATAAACAATTCATAAGTTTTAAATTGCACACCATTCTGAGTAAGATGATGAAATCTAGAGCCATTTCCTGGTATGTAAATCATCCTTTTGTCTAGCGAATCCATCTCAGGTCATCTCATCATGTAGGCATTGTATCATCTCACATCATCACAAGTGAGCACAGTACCATAAGATATTTTGAGAGAGCCCACACTCACACAACTTTTATTACAGTATATTGGTTTAATTGTTCTGTTTTGTTGTTAGTATCTTACTGTGTCTAATTTATAAATTAAACTTGATCATAGGTATGTATGTATAGGAAAAATAGTATGTATAGCAGTATGTATAGCATGCTATCTTTGGCTTCAGGCATCCACTACAGATCTTGGAATGTATTCTCCTCAGATCGGGGGAGACTACTCTATGTACCTGAGGAGAAGCAGGTTTGATAAAGGGTATATAATTTTAAATTCTGAAGGATTTATAAGCACTTTAAAGCTTATAATGTCACTGATTCTTAAATCTAATTTCCTTTTATTTTCTTGATGTAAGTATGCATACGTGTACTCCTAACATTGAAAAGGGATAGTTAATAGATGTTCTTAAGAGTAGGAGAAT